ATATATTTCTTTTTTTTTCTGTACTATAATTTCAGAGTACAAATTAATTTTTGTTTATTTTAAGAAATATTCTAAATTAATCAAAAATATATCTGGATATATATAACATTCTATATACACCTTTTGCCTTTACTATGGTCATGAGTTTGTGAAGAAACGTATCGCAAGCTGCTCGAAGTTGACTTGTTGGCATTTTTGCTCACTTCACGAACAATGAATTTCTTTAGAATCGCTCGAACCTTGTTCTCCAAAGTGGCCCAGAGAGACTAATCCATTAAATACGCGTCTGGTGAACTCAAGAGCTCATTGTGTGGTCGCACTCGAGCTGGGAATATAGTTTTGCTGACATTTTTACTTCACTTTCCCTTGACTTCCCTTGACTGTTAGATTGAGTTGATTATTATAGAAATTTGTATAAATATACGTTCCTTAAGGGCGTGGTCAATTGGTGAAAGTAAATGTAAAAGTGGCACAGTTAAAGAGTACAGTTCCTTAAAAGTTGTAGAGGTGAAAAAGCAGAGTCTAGTAAGAAAGTAGGCCACGTCTACAGATAAGCTGCCCTGCTTTTATACTAAGAGCCTAGCCTCTGGAAGAATGGAAGAAGAGCGTCATATCAGAAGAAGCTCTTGTCCCTGCAGTCTTAAAGCTAGGCTTGGATATTTGATCGGCTATTAAGTGCCTCATCTACTTTTCATCTCACCTTCACACATATAACTTTATATTATTTTCGTTTCTATATTCAAAACGGATTCAGCCAGCACGAGTATGAGGCAGTCAGTTGAGCGCTCGCCTATAATACTCAGACTTGTTTTTCTGTTCTCTGTTCTTTTCTTCGTGCTTCATAAATTATAAATAACTTATTCGTGTCCGAGCGTATTGAACTGTGCGTCAAAAAGGAGCAAGCAAAAGGCAGAAGGAAGAAAAAAAATGAAATAAAGGGCCGGCTCAAGGATCGAGTCGTTTTGTTCAATTTGAAGCGGCTTAACGGCTGACAAATGCACAGGCATCATTCAAACTAGGCTGTGCGAGTGTGTGTGTGGGTGTGTGTGTGTGTGGGTGTTGCCTGATTAAGATGCTGCGACTTGACTTCATTCATGTGTTAACATTATATGACGCCATAAGTGCGTTTGTGTGTGTGTGTGTGTGTGTGTGTGAGCCATGCTTGATTTGCTCAATTCCGGTTCATTGAATTCCGGTTGCCGCGTTTGCGAGTGTCCGAATGTGTTGAGATGCGATATTCTAATCCGATTTGTGTGTTTGTACAATATATGAATTATGCCATACATATATACATACATGCATACATATATACATACATAGCATACATAAGCTATATGGGCGTCTGCTTCACTTGGCCATATAAATTATGAAAACAACAATTAAGCAGCACAAAAATAATTATGTTTAATCAGCATTTAGCTGCGCAGCCCATGCATAAATACTCCACTCGATTGCAATGGCGAATGGCGCAAGCGAATGCATATTGTAATAAATATTCACTGAGCAATTTACGAATATCCAATTTTATAATTATTTGATCACACTAATAAATAATAATCATTTGAAAATTTTCAAAAAAGATTTAGGGTTATTGTTGCTAATCGAAAATTGTTTGAAGGACGTACATAAATCTGGTTTATATTGAATTTTTACAGGTTTTTACTAAAACATTTTATATAAATTTTTTGCTCTGGGATATGATCTATCAAATTTTCTTGCAGTTTGTTTAATCGATATAAATAAATGTTCTTACTTGACTTTATTTTTTGGCATAGCTTCATGTGAATAAAATGATTTTTAATTCATTTCATTTCAATTGAAAACAGATATAAAATTTGTCAACTTCCCCATTTGTGCACACACTTTTGCCCGCCACTGTGAACAATTTGCTAGGCAAGTCGATAACAAATCAGGTTTGATGTAAATTCCACTTCGCTTATTAGTTTGGGAAGGAATATACATACATATATATTTATGTATTTTTTTTCGGCGACCAACCACTGCATCAGGTGGTGCAGAGTGGCGTCGAGTGGTGCTCGCTTGCTAATTAAAATAAGAAGCAAAGATAAAGACATCAATTATTACAGTGAGAGTTTTTCATTCTTTTTTTTTTTTTTTTGCTAAGCAGCCGACAAAATTTGCGTTTGCTGATGCAGCAAATTCTAATTAATTTGAGCGCACACAGAGAGAGTGAGAGAGAGAGAAGGAAAGAGTGAGGTATATATATGTCCAACTTGACTCGTGTTACAATAAATTCTGCAAAATTTTACACAACTAAAAATGTTTACATTGTCTGCAGCTAATTGAAATTCAAATTATTTTCATGGCGCAGCAGCAGGCGCTTGATAAGTAATTAAGATTGCGTAGGCGTTGGCAATTCATCATAAAAAAAGATCATAATGATATATAACAATTTATAAAGGCTTTTTTTTTATTACGTATACTTAATATATTAAAAGCTACATTTTATATTTATTACGTATACTTAATATGCATTTGTGCTTTTTCTTTTGTTAGAAATAACATTTATCTACAGCATTAATAAAAAATAAACAATTGAAGAGACCTGAATACGATTTCTAGTTATCTCTCAATAGGATCACATGAATTGTTGCCGCGCCAGACGCCTTTTTGGTCGTTTCGTATATAAATTGCTGTTGTTGTCTAACATATTTCTAGGGGTTATGATAAGACGTAATTAAGCTATGGCTAATTGCACAATTGAATTACTCAGTCAAACGTTCGATTTGTATGGTCGCATGTTTGATATTGTATCTGCTGCCACAGGCCAGTTGGGTGGCCAGCTCCAGCACAACATTCGGGTCGCTTAGCATATCTGAAACGGGAGATAAGATAAGATGACGATATGCACTTGATATGGATATATATTTTATGTGCTGGCTTACCCACAACCAGATGAGCCATCAGCACATTGTAGTCGCTCGTATGCTGCCAGACATTCACATGATGTACCGATCTGTTGTTGTGCGAGAGGGAGAAGGAGAGGGAGCAAGAGAAGATAAATTATAATAATTTAAGCGAGTTCAATGACCTCGGCTGTCACTCACTTGACACCCTCAATGCCGGACAGCTCGTGCTGCAGCGTCGCCAGGCACACATTCCGCGGCACCGCATCCAAGAGGACGCCGACAGACTCACGGAACAGCTGCACTGTGGTCATAATCACAATTATCGAGAAGAGCAGCGTACACAATGGATCCACGAACTTGGCGCCCGGCTGCATACCAAGCATAAAATTGAATTAGTTACGTTGTTGTTGTTATTGTTGTTGTTGTTGTTGTTTATTGTATGCTCATTTTTAATTGATGTCTAGACCTCTTCGATGAACTCTACTCACATAGAATTTGATTAGTATGGCCGCCAGAAAGACGCCGATGCTCTGCACCAGATCCCCAATCACATGAATCATTGCGGCTCGCAGGTTAAGATTGCGTTCGCTCGACCTATGCGGATTAAGCGGGAAGATTGTATTATAAACACACACACACACACACACACAGGTTTATAAGTATAAACCAAATATTAACTTGAGGCATCTCGCTGCACAAATTAATAACTGCAAATCAAGCATAGCTAATGCAGCTTTACCCCACTCTCCCTCTCCCTCCCACACTATACTCTACTCCCTCTCTCTCTCTCCCGTCTCTTTTGTCTGTGGGCCATGCAACTAAATTAAATTCCAATTACACGTAATCAAACAAACAATTGCCTGCAGACAACAACAACAACAACAAGAGCAGCTGCTGCCGCTGCTACTTATTGCTGTTGTTATTGTTGAGTCAATTGTTGTTGTGGTTACGCTATACCCTGTATATTTGGCGGCTGCCTGTCGAGAAGGTAATTGTGTGAAAATTCGAAAATAATTCAATGTTAATGCGCCACTAAATCTCAAGTGCAGCAATTGTAAATGGAGTGTGAGATCTTTTGGTAGGGGCAGACAGAGACAGAGGGCGGCAAGGTAGAGAGCAAGAGATGAAATGTTTCTAAAGCCGTACACAAATCACTCTGCTTCATCACCTTAAGTTTCTACTGCTGCAGTTAAGAATTTATTGCATTTCTTATCTTGCAACCCATCGTTATCTGGTTCATTCTTTTTTTTACCTTCCTTTATTACACTTTAACTTCCCTTTCTCTCTAGCTAGTTGGTATACCGCATAATACTATACTTTTGCTCTGCGTACTCTACTCTACTCACCTCTAGTATGTTTTAGTCTATCTTACTCCATCTTTCACTACTCTAATTTACTCAACTCTATACTGATCTAATCTTGTGAACTCTACTCTTCTCTACTCTACTCTAATTTATTTTAGTTGAAACTCTACTCTAATCTACACTTCTTTACTCTAGTTACCTCAGCTCTACTCTATTCTACACTATAAACTATACTCTACTCTGATCTACTTTATACTCTGATCTACTATACTCTACTCTACTTTATCCGACTCTACCCTACCCTAAAATACTCTATTATCAAATACCATATTTCCCATATTATAAAATACTTTATACTCCTATATCTATACTTTTGAGCTCTAAACTTCACAGCTCTACTCATTTCATATAAGACTTAATTTGCTCTACATTTCCTCTTCGATTGTGCACTACCCATTCCTTACATTATTCTTCTCTACTTTATGTAGGGTCAACGCAACCGACTCACATTTTCTACTTTCTATATTATACTTAACTGTGATCTCCCGGACTCGATACACTTTCATACTTCTGCTCTTATACTTCGCTAGTTCTCTCTACTCATCTTTGGTCTCTCTCTTTTTGACTCCTGTCTTTCCTTTAATCTAGCTTACCCTGCCCTTCTTTTGACTATATTTTATTAAACTGATGCACAATGGTCTTCTTATAGTTATCTTCACACTTTACAGCACATCTCGTAGTCGTGTATGCCCCACACTTTAATAATTTACTAATTTTGCCGCTGTTTGACAACAAATTCATAAGAGTTTTAACCGCAAGCCACAAAATTGCAGCTGGCCATTTGAATCAATAACATTGCTCTACATATATGCACACACACACATGTATTTATGTATATGTATGTATGCATTTTACGGTTTATATTGTGTATATATTACATTAAAAATCAACCCTTTTGGCCAACACACCTACCCATTGGGCTGGATTGACTTTAAGCCATTTGCCATGACAACATTATGCGCGTCCTCGCTGGGGCTTCCAATTGTTTCACACCCATGCCCATCACCGTGACTGTGACTGTGACTGTGATTGTGATTGTGATTGTGATTGTGACTGTGACCGTGACTGTGACTGTGGCCATGGCCACTGGGCCCCATAAACCAGGAGCCATGCAATACGAACATCATGCTGCGGGCAGGAGAAGAGAGAAAACATTTCATATTTATATTTAATTAAAAGCGCATGCGAAATTATTTCAGGCGTGACAAATTGCAATATTACAAAAAGTACAAAAGTTGCTCAAATTCATTAAAATTCAAATTATCAAAAAACACCTTTTATGAGCATAAAATATATATCAAAGGATAATGTTAGAAATCAAGGGAATACTTCAAGTTTGGCTACAATCGCATGATAAATTCCGATTTATAAATAAAATAGTTAATTGAGTTTTGAATTGAACATTTTGAAATTATGAGGGAATTTTATCTTCTTTTTAGATGTGAAAATATTTATTTAGTTTATTTTTAAATGTAAAAATATTTTTTTTTTAATTTTTTTTTTTTATTTTACATCATTTATATACAATATACAAGCGTGTATGATAAATTCACTGGTAAAATTTCACCTCCTTAAAATCAAGGCTTTATTTATTTTTATATTCTTAAAAAATAAATAATATCTTTAGAGAAACTCTAACTTATATAAATATTACTTCTTTTAATATTTAAATTAAAAAAAATCAATAAATGTAAATATATTCAATTATTTAAAAAGAAATATAAAATTTATAGAAAAACTTTTGGCTATAATTCGGTCAGTTTTCCTCACCCTTACTCTTACCCCGTTCTTCCTTTCTCTATGTGTATGCATAAATACATATTTATGTTCTACTCACACAACATTGATGACAATGCCAATGGCCGATATCCACATCATGACATTAACATCTAGCTCGAACTGCAGCGACCAAATGCGTTCGATGGCAACAATGACGAGCATTGCCGTCAGCAGCCAAATGCCCAGGATGGAGATCAAGGCGCCGACGACCTCTGCGCGGGCAATGCAATGAAAAATAGAGAAAATCGGGATAAGCGACTGATAGCCACAGCAGGTGAGTGAGTGTACAGGTGAGTGAGTGTGTGTTGGTTGCATGGCAAATAATAGAGAGACATGTGAACGTGTGCTTGGCATAAATGCAATTACATGACCAATGCGAGCAGATGAATGTATAAGTGTGTGAGTGTGTGTGTGTATGTGTGTGTGTATGTGGCATTGTAAGTGGTTATGTCTGTCAACTGTGGCTCTCTCTATCTGTCTCTCCTCTCTCTCTCTCTCTCTCTCTCTCTCACTGTACACTCATTAGCATAGTGTCGAGACCATAATTGGTATACTTACCAAAACGTTTGTAACCGAAGGACATGCGTGCATCTGGCGGTCGGGCGCCCAGCCAAATGGCGACCAGGCCGATGACGAAACTAATGCAATCAGATGCCAAATGCGCCGCATCGGCCATTATGGCCAGACTTCCGGCTATATAGCCGCCAAGGAATTCAATAATCTAATCAAGTATACGTAGACATAGATATATATATAGGTAAATATGTAGACCAAGCTTATGTAGAGCGCGGAATTTATCTTAATTAAATCAAGCATATATAAGTTATATCTGTGTGTGTGTGTGTTTATAGTGTGTGTGTATGTGTGCGTTTGCTCACCATGAATATGCAACAGAGCGAAATTGCAAGCAGAATTTTAAATTTCGCCTCCTGCGCCGATTTGCTTTTAAGGTTCGCGCCAAAGCCCGGCTGAGCGCTGCGACAGGCGACAAAAGTGTCGATGCTCGTATCCAGCTGCTGCAAACATAACGGTAATAATTGCCTTATAAATATGCCAGCCTATATAAACACACACACACACGCACACACACAAATGGGTGTGCATGTGTGTGAGTGTGTTTGCATATAAATGGAGTGCAATGCAGTCGAGGGGCGAGCGTCGAGAGCCGAGCGTAATAAGTGCTTTAATTGAACAATTTGAGGTTATGGAGAGCTTATGGATATTTAAGTATAACACTATGTTACTCTTATACTATATATTGTGGGCTATATATATTGAGAGATAAAAATAAAGGGCATGCCTTAAGTTGTTGCCACTTAAGGACACTGTTAAGAGTTCATAAATCAGCGACGTGCACTTTGCAGTGCAGTGTAGCAACTGTACTTGGCTTACAGCTAACAATTGAGGTTATGTAGAGTTTTAAGATGAATGTAAATAAATATGAGGTATAGCAGGGCAGCGTTACTCCTCCTTCCCTATGGCAAAATGAACAATCAGTAAATGGAATAAAATTATTTTTCTAGAGTAAAGAGTATGGTGCATTATCGTAAGATTTACGATATGCATTATATATTATGAAGTGATAATTAATCTAATAGTCAAATGAATCAGTTTTACTCTGCGTAAATAGCTAAAAAGTTAATTTGCAGCTGGGGCAAACTCTTTCATTTGATCTTATCGCAGATAGAAATCATTTACGATACCAAACAAATTTACGATATTGATAACATGCATAGGTGATTCGTCAGTCCATCAGTTGGCAACACCAATACTTCTACAAATAGATTACTTTGCATTGGATAGTGCTTCACCTTGAAGTTGGGCAAACGCGGCGTATGTGTAATTTATTTACAATATTCTTTTGTTTATGGCACAGATGTTATCTTTACGGTGTTCGAAAAGCTATACGCTTAGAATTGGAGTGACAAAATTGTGAGAAAAGCATTTTGTTAATTTTAGTTAAATATTTGTTTCAATTTGCCTTCAAATATTTTTGAGTTAATGCTTTAGGCGATAGCAAATGTATTTTTAAATACCTTAATAATTATTTTGAAAGCTAACGGAACAATACAAATTAAATTTACTTAATATATTAATAAAT